TGGCTCGGGGAGACACAGGCAGAGCTCTGAGAAACAGATCGGCAGCCAGAGAGAAGGCGTCAGCATGGCGTGGCAGTCCCCTGCAGGCCCTGGGGGCTCCTTGCCGGCTGTGGTCCTAGCTGTGGGTGTGCCAGGCCTCTCCTGCCACCAGCCAGGAGAAGGAAAAGGCTGAACACAACTTGTCAGACCACTTCTCAGGAGAGACTCGAGCTGAGGTGGTGATGACGGGCCGGACCACACCTTAACAGAACCGCTGGTATACTTACCTCCAGTCCTCTCTGTTTAATAGATTTGGGGGTCACTGGACCTCTTTCTTCATTCCTCTTCCTTCTCTGGCCACGGTCACTATCTGTTTAATTGGCCCCGTGACGGCAGACAGCGGGAGTTAGTTTGTTGGGACTGCCAGGGCCCAGGCTTTACCCACAGCAGCTCCAGCAATAGGGTGATTATGCAGGGCTCACTCGTCTGCTGAATGGACACAGTAATACCCACTTCCCAAGGGTTGTCTCAGTCAGTGTGAGCAAGGAATGAAACGAGAGGTTCCTGGCACGTGGCCATGCTTCTAAAAAGACAGCACTGAGCCCTAGTCCCTCACTCTCCTGTCAGGCCATGGGAAGATCAGGGTGCCTAGGGCCATGCCCATTGGGAGTTCAGTGGAGGGGTGGGCAGAATGAGCATCTCCACTAACAGCATCCCAGGCTACAGACAGATGGAGGGGACTGGGAAATAAAGGGACTTGTTGGGAGTAACAGCTCATTCTTTCCGGGTGGGAGCTGATGGGCATGAGGGGGTGACTTGAGCAGACCCTCAGTATTCTCTCCGGGGCAGTGCCAGCAAAAACACAAGCCGTCGTCCCCACTGGAGTTTGCGGGTAGGGTATTCCCACCAGTCTCCAGAGCCAGTGGTCAGAGTGCTGGTCCAGGTTGCCTGGGACTCAGCTCTACCTCTGACACATCAGCATGGAGAGGGATCTTATGCCCACCTGCTCTCGGCTTCCAGCATTGTGTAACAACTGTTGCCCCTTACTGACGGGCACCTCTCTTCCATTCCCTGGCTTAGAGGTCTGGCCTGAGTCATTGGCTTCAGCAAAGGAAGGGTGTGCCTTCTTGGATCCAGTAGTCTCGGTCTCGGGACCTAGGACCTGTGGGTCACATACATTAGCCTCACAGACAGTCCAGGACAAGGTCTTCCCGGGGAATAGAGGGTACTGAACAGGGTTGACAGCTCTTCTGTGAGGAGGGTCAGGAAGCAGGGCAGGGCCTCCGACTCAGTGTCTGTCACCAGGCTACCATGTGACAGCAGCTCAGAACAACTGGTTGAATGAATACATTCTTCGCAAGCTTGACTCTCCTGGCTCCTAGAGGCTTCTTCTGTGACTTTGATGTCCTAGGCTCCCAAGAGATCTGAGGGTCCCCCCAGCCAAGACATAGGGTGGGCCCCAGATTCCTATCATGTCCCTGTCCTATCTGTGTCCCCAGTAAACGGTGGCTAACTGCAACTGCTCTCAAATTCCCTGCCTGCTGCACGGTGTCCAGGTCAGGTGGGACAGCAGTGGCTAGCGATGGGTGGACTCTGCCTGTGGGCTCAGAACAAACCTGCAGTTCCAGCTCAGAAAAGATGTGAAAACAGACCTGGGCTGTTAGGGGGCTGGCTCAGCAGCAGTTAGTCTCTGGCTTCTGTGCAGGCACACACACACACCCACACACACTAAAGATAGAGGAAATGAGGGGCTGGGGAGGTGGCTCAGCAGTCACAGGTGAGATGCCGCCAAGCCTGAGGACCTCAGTTGCACTCCAGGAGGAAGGAGAGACCAACTCCTGCAAGCTGTCTCCTGGCTGACACGTGAGCCCTGTGGCCTGTGTGCGAGCACAAACATACATACACACACACACACACACACACACACGTGCATTCACGCACGCACAAGCGTGCGCACACACCAGCACACGCACACACATGCGCGTGCACACACAAGCACACACACACATCCCGAGGCTTACCTGGAGGCCCCACAGCTGACTGCCTTTGTGTAACAGCGAATGGGGAAGATAAAGGACGGCAGCAATGCACTTGATGGAGAATTCTTCCCCCTCCCCATGTTCCTATTGCATTGCAGCTTTTTAAGGTACTTAAAAATCTGCTTGCTCTTTTTAGGACATAATATTTTTTTTTTTTAAAAAAAAAACTCTCCAGATTTAAAACTCATTGGATATTTTTTCACACACATGGAAGATTGTTTCCAAATTGCTTATATGAAGAAAAATGCATGATTTGAAAATGGTGGGAAAATGGTTAAGTTAGGTAATTGGACATTTTAGATGAACGATGAAGTTTTAAAACCTAGGAGGGAGCTGGAGACTGGAGAGATGGCTCAGAGGTCAAGGGAACTGGTGACTGTCACGGAGGACCCCCACGTGGTGGCTCACATAGTCTATAACTCAGGTTCCAGGCGATCTGATGCTTCCTCCTGGCCTCTGTGAGCACCAGGCACACGTGTGGTGCACACACATGCAAGCAGGCAGAATATTCACACATACAAATAAATTACAACTTTTTATACACATGCACACGTATGCACATATGTGCAGCGGCACAAATATGAAGGCCAGAGGACAACCTGTGAATGTCGCTTTTCTCTGTCCTCCACTCAGTTTCTGGGGTGGATGTAGGCTGGTCACCAGCTTGGTAGCAAGTGCTTTTCCCGCTTGTGTCACCTCACTGGCCTGAAATCAATGCTTAATGTTCCCAGAGTGACTCAATCACCCTGCATGACACAGGCCATCAAGAGAAGAAAGCAAAGGCCTTAAGGCTGGAGATGCTCAGTAAGCAGAGGGGAGAAGGAGAAACTGAGGTGACAGATGAGCTGGCTGAGGTCGCTCTAGGTCACAGGAAAAGATTCGGTAAGGGACAGCCGGATTAACGCCGGGTGCTGGATGCTCCCCCTGAGAAGGAACGTCCTGTGGTACGAGAGAGCTGCTCTAATACACCGAGGCCTGCGGCTGAGAGGAGTTGTGTTTGTTCTACACGCTTTTACAGAGATGGCGCCGGCAGCTGGAGTTGTGCCCGTGGGGCTGCTGTTCTGACCCCCAGATGAGTAGACAGGGGAAACGTGTTTGCGATGATCTCATCCATCTCCATACTGACTGGATGGTAACCATCAAACCAGGCATGCTGGAATAGCCAAAAGCAACTGTGCTTGCTTCCTTGCCCTCTGCCCCAGCTGGAGGGTCCAGAGGAAGCAACCGACTGAATGAAGACTGAAGCTAACCCAGTCGGCTCCTTTGCTGGTCTGGGGTAGGATGCTCAGAGCTGGGCATCCATCGTCAGCTCAGCCTGAGAGCTTGCAGGGCTTGTAGCTGGAGCCAGGCTGCCCTGGCCACCTTCGCAGTGTGGCTAGGAGAATAGTTCCAGCCCTCCGCTCCTCCTCCAGACCACAGTCAGGCTGGATGAGAAGGGGCTCCAGGCCCAGTCCACGGCATGGCCCGCCCAGGCAGCCAGTGCCTGGATGACGTGGCCATAAACCATGCTGTGGACCACAGACCCTGTGCCATCCCTATGGGTTTCCTTTCCGCTACTTAATCCTTCTCCTCAGACTCAGTAACAAAAAGCAGATCTCTGTTGGGGCCAGCCGTGCACAATGGGCTGGGAGAATGCAAGCCTGGGATTTACCACATCAAGACCCTGCCGGCCTCTCACTTTTCCTTTTCCCCGGCTTAGCCACTATTAGCTGGACAGCCTTCCTCCCCCATGGCCTGGCTCACTCACCCTCCTTGGACCCTGCATCCAGCATGGCTCCAACCTCTTAGTTTGGATCTTGGACCATGTCTTGGCTATGTTCCTACCAGTGTTCTGGGGCCTCCGAGGCAAGACATACAAGGGTCTGTGGTTAGCAGCTCTCCAGCTCCATGGTTTGACTCCTTACTGCTTGCTCTCCAAAGCCAGGCTTCAGTAGGAGCAGCTTCTGTTGGGAGGAGAAGCAGGGTCCATCTGGGTTCAAATCCCGTCACTGCTGGTGTGGAGCACTCAGCTCTCGCTCTGTGTGGCCCAGAGGACCCTAACATGCCAGCGCTGTCAGATAGAAGGTTTGCTGGACCGTCAGCTTGTTCAGGATTCTTGCAGAATGGGAAGCTGCACCGAGGTCTCTGGGCGTTTTTCCTATGTTCTGAGTGGATTCTTGGAACCCTCATGAACTTCTGTGGTCATTTTCACACACGCACACACACACGCACACGCACACTCAGGCTGATGCCCCAATGTATTCTTGGCTTGTCCTCCTCTTCTGTCCCTTCCTGGAAGGTTAGACTTGGAAATGGCCTGACCCAGTAACTCATGGGTCTCAAGATGTCCCAGATTCCTCACTCGTGGGCCCTCTGTGTCTTAACTTCATGATGTTCAGAATCACAGACCTCTGTTGGTTTGTTTTCTGGGTTAGGATTCTACAGGTCCATTCTCATTTCTGCTTAGAAGGAAATGGAGGGAATGAATTATTGATGTCCCTCAGTTGAGTCATCTGTCAGAGGTAGGAACCTAGAACTGGAGAAGTGACTTCAGATCACCTGTGTGGCGGGTGGTGGGCCTCATGACTTGTGGCATGCTCTTGTCTAAACAGAACGGGGAAGATGGTACAAGTCATGGACAGACAGTTATTTCCATGGGAACCAGGGAGGCCCATCGTCCACCCATTCCAGCATCCTGTAGTAGCAGGACTGACTCTCATGTCCCCGAAAGGTGTGAATCTGGGGTTCATGATGTCAGCACCAGATGTCCCTCAGCTTACAAGGCTTGACGTCCTTGGTGTAGCAGTCCATGGAGGTGGAGAGAAGAGGAGCAATATGTGCTTTGGGGACAGCTAGTCTTGGATCAAATCTGGCCTTAGTGTTTAACTGAAACTCTACCTGGGCAGGATGGGCTTAATTTCTCCAGAATGTTCCGTAAGCGTCGGCATCCAGCTTCAGGGTGAGTAGAGAATGTTCCTGATAATGTTTTCTTTTGTTTTTCAGGAGTGACCAGCCACAGACTAGACCACGGATACTGCTGCGGGTCTCTTCCCAGTCGGGCCTGAGGAGAAAGAAGCCGAGGCCACCAAGACAGCCAGCCTCATTTCCTGCCTTCTCCAAGATGCTACCAGATCCTCAGCCCACTTACTGCCTCTCAGGTTCGCCAAGGACCAGGACAAGGGCAGCCTGCCTCCTCTCCGTCTCCTGCTGTCCGCCAGCCATCCAGGGTTACTTCAGATTTTGCTTTCTGACTGGTGGTGCAGACTATTGCCAAAGATTCTACAGAGATTATCTAAGGAAATTACGGGGTGAAACCCCAACAGCGCAAAGCCACAACACCATTGCTGCCTGAACACGTCCACCTCAAGCCAAAGATGGATTAGCACTTCTGCCAGGAACTCATGCAAGGAGTGGACATTTGGTGACCTTCGGAAGCACTTAACCCTCTGAGCCAGTGCTCTGTCTGTGCTGAACCCCGAGCTGTCTGGGTACAAGAAGGCTTTCTAGGGCTGTGACAGACAGGTTGGGTACCTTGGTGTGGTGGAAGGTGGGGTCTGAGATCTTGTTTCTTCCCATTAGCCATCCAGGCCTCTGACCCTATGCCCAATATTCTTTGGGTCCTGGCTCCTTCCTGGACTCCAGGCCTCCTGAGAAGGGAAGAAGGGGAGAATGAAGAAGCAATATTGCCCCATAGCCCACCCAGGACATGCCCCAAGACAACCTGTCTGATGGTCTTTGCTCCAAGAGCCTGCTCCACCAGGTGCTCACCAGTGGCCAGTCTCAGGCTAGCACACGAGACAGTGTCGTGCTGTAGGTCAGCTGCCTTTGAACAGTCCAGGCAGGAGGACTTAGGGAGGAAGGGACCAGGGGAATGGGCCAGTATGTGGGGAAGGGAGCATGTTCAAAGCCAGGGCCTGCTCCATGTGCTACAGAGGCCAAAGCTGTTCACATCTGTGTGCAACCATCTGCTTCAAATTGAAGTAAAAGCTGCAACATATAAAGAAAGTACTGGTGTGTGTTGAGTGGACTTGGGAGCAGGGGAAAGGACATTGGGTATTCGTTAGCTGGGGAGTGTGAGGGAGGGGTGGGGACCCCCACCATGGCCTTAGGCTAGACTGTGCTCACGAGGGCTGGCCAGGTCATGTGAGAAGCCCTCTCTATTTCACCCTGCACTTAGCCCCTCACCTCAAGATTTGTGAGACCAGGCTCAGTAATGCCAGTTTCCAAATGAGGAAAACAAGGTCCCAGGAGATAGGGCCAGTCATCAACAGAGACAGTCCTTGAATCAGGACGGCCTGGCTCCACACCCCGGGCTCTTGAGCCCTTTCCAGTCCAGCACACCACTTTTGGGTGGCCTTGTTCCTTTCCTTTCCTTTGCAGGTCATTTTGGGATCGAGATGGGATGGGGAAGACGGTAAGGACTGTTGGGTGTCAGGTACTAGGTGTGTGTGTGTGTGTGTGTGGTGGCTTCTGGGGACTGTAGTGTGCCTGACACGGTTTTTCCTTGGTTTCACTCTGTATCACACTCACCTCCATGTCTGGGGACCAGACAGTAACTGTCATGCCTAGAGCCATACTTGCTGCTGCAAGAGAACACAGTCTGCGGTCCTGGGCAGGGACAGGGTGCCACTGCTTAGGTTAGGACAGGCCTGCAGGGCTTGGAGAGATAGATGACTGTGTGATGAAGAGCCTCTGGTCTAGCTGATGACCCAAATTAGGCTCCCCGGACCCACACTGGGCAGCTCACAGAAGCAGTAACTTCAGGGAACCTGAGGTCTCTGCAGGCACCATATTCACATGCACGCAGACACATCATTAGAAAGAAAAGAAATCTGTTTAAAAAAAAAAGAAGCAAGAGAACAGGCATGCTGCAGACTGTTCCAACATCTCTGAAATCTGTAGCCTCTACTCAACCTATTTCAGCTCCCGTCCTGGCTGGGGTGCCGAGTCCCATCCCAAGACCATCCGTCCCAAGACCATCCATCCTTCTTTCTTGAGTCCCTGTTTCCTTTTCTGTGGTTTCCCACGGCCCGGGTTTCTTTTCTGGAGCCCTGTGCTTGCGACAGTGGAAAGAGCTCCTTTGAGTTCTAACTGAGCACCGTCTGCTGCTGGGTCTCTGGCTCCCCTGGGAATTCTAGTTCTCGTGAGTCAGACCCTGGGGCTGATGGGGAGGTCGGACTCATCCAGCAGCAATGACCCAGGTTCACGCCCTTTTATCATGGGCCACAATTTTCCTTTCACATAGAGATAAAAACCTCACTCCACCCTGTGTCCCAGGGAAGCAGGCAGAGCTCACTCACATCCCAGATCCCTGACAATTCTCAGGGGACTGACATCCCCAACTCTCTGCCTTTGGTCTCTTGGGTCAGCTCCCTGTGTCCCTGAAACGGGGCCACACAAGGCAGCCGTGTGGCAAGCGGTTAGTTTTTGCCGTTGTGATGGAGTTTACAACATGTGCAAACCACAAGGAGCAGGGCATCGCCTTGATGTCCCCATTTATGGGGCTCTTCTCGTCGCATTTCTAGCGTCGTAATTCCCCCGGACGCTGCATTTCTGGGCCGTGACTCACCCCGAGCCTGTCCTACAGCTGCAGCTCAAATCTGCTGGACACAGAACTGTAATGTATGGTGACCAGTGGATAGGCCGTGAGGCAGGGGAGTAGCTAGCATGGCTGGTCCGCTACCTCAGCTGAGGGTCTTGGTCTTGTCTCCATGAGGATTGAGGCTCCCCCCAAACCAGACACGTTCCCACTCCTAGGTGCTGTCCCGAAGATTGGTTCAGAAGCAGCAGACGGGCCACAGAGTAAAGGATGCCCCCTCCCCAACACACAGGAGCAGTTAAGACCATGACCTAGACCATCTTCAAAGCCATCCGGTGCACAGACTGCATGCCTTCATCCTCTGGGACTGCATTTCCAGCCTTACAACCAAAAGTTCCCAGAAAATTCCCTCTTACATGCACACACAGGCATGTAATACGCACCACCCACACTTGTGTGGTGTGTTCATGTGTACCTGTGTATATGTATATGCATGTGTGCATGTATGTATGCATACACAGTATGTGTGCCCATGTCTGTGCAGCTATGTGGGAGACCTGAGGAAAGTGTTGCATGCCCTCCTACACCACTGTCCTCCTTGTTTCTTTGATGCAGGGTCTCCCACGGACCCTGGAACTTTCAGCCCCAATGTCTTCCTGTCTCTGCCTCACTCAGTTCTGGGGTTTAACACATGCCAGACGGTGCCCAGAATTTTTATGTGGGTTCTGGGATCCACATTCCAGTCCTTGTGCTTGCAGAACAAGCCTTCCTAGCCACTAAGATACCGCTCAAACCCCCACACATAGTTTTTAAGAAATAATAAAGACCTCCGGATCTGGGAGTGAGCTCAGTGGGTAGAGTGCTTGCCTAGCACGCATGCCTTCAGATCCTATAGGACATGTGCTACTGCTGGTCCTGGCAACCTCAGCTCCAGTGTGATCTTTCAGGGTCCGTCCTTGGCTTGGAGGACAAGACCCAGGAGCCAAGGCTGAGGAAGCTGTTGGCCAGGAGGTGGCAGCCACCCCCATGATGCTTCATGGGTTCCAGTACCACAGCTCTGTGTGTGTGTGTGTGTGTGTGTGTGTGTGTGTGTGTGTGAGAGAGAGAGAGAGAGAGAGGGAGAGAGAGAGAGAGAGAGAGAGAGAGAGAGAGAGAGAACACTATCCAGAGAAGTTAGAACAGGCTGGCTAACGGCTCAGCAGGTGAAGCTGCCTGCTGCCAGATCTGATAACCTGAATTTGATCCCTGAGTTGCATATGGTGGAAGGAGAAGAAAATTATCTTTTTATAAAGGTCCCTCAAATAAATAAATAAACAGATAAAATAATTTCAAAAGAAGCGGTCATTCTTTGATTCTGGATGAACGCTTTTCCTTCACAGTGCAGTGACGTGTGTGGCTAGCTCCCTGGCTCAGCCAGGCAGACTGGGCAGGGAGAATACCCCTGGCTTACCTCCCCAGGACAGGGCACTGGAGAGGGGTGGGGGTGGGTGGGGGATGGGGGTGTCAGTGCCTGAAAGGCGAGTCACCTCCTGCTCTCTTCTGTGGTGGGGGGCTGAGCAGCAAGCCCACGGGGTCCTGCTTACTCACCCCTGGCCTTGGATGTTCTGCAGAGCCTGGAGGAGATTCATGGCAGGGAGCAGAGGATGAAGTCTATTGTGTTCTAAGCATGAAATGAAGAAGGTTCTGGAAACTGGCTTAGCACTATGAAGAAGGGAAACAGGAAGTGTTGTACTTCTCCAGCCCAAAGCTGTTCAGAGGGTGAGATGGCGGCAAGAGGGAGTGCGTGCGTGCGTGTGTGTGTGTGTGTGTGTGCACGTGCGCGTGCGTGTGTTCATCCTTCCCAGGGCCACAGGCTGATCTCCAGGCCTATCTTCTTTCATAACTCTACCTCCTCCTGCCGCGTGGGTTGGCTGTTCTCACGGTCCTTCCCTCCACAGGTGCCCACTCTCCTCAGGTCCAGGGCCTCTCTTCTCTTTCTCTTCCTTTATCTGGAATCATTTTACCTTCTTTGGGTCCTGCTCCCCGCTCCCAGCCCAGTCTCCTAAGTGTGTCAGTGTTGGTGGCTGCAGGTTGTCGTGGGTGTCAGAGGCCTGGTGTAGTTCCTAGCCCTCCTCTGATTGGGTGACCCTGGGCAAATGAATCCGCCTCTGAGCCTCGGTTTCTCCTTCGGGAAACAGGAACGATAAAGTCTCGCTCCATACTTCTATCTCACTAGACAGTTATCTCCCGACTGGCCAGCAGTTAAATGCAGGTAGCCCCGCCTGTGAGTTCACCACGCTGCGCCTGCCCTGCTGGGCACCCCAACGAGGGGAAGGAAGAAGCATTTTGCTCCGTCTGCTTTTCCACTCAACGTGGCCTCATCTGGCCTGGCCTCTCCCTGGCCCCTCCCAGGGCCGTGTCCTTCCTCTGGCCCAATTCTTAAGTCAGGAGACGTCTTCCTCTTTGGAGCCCCAGCACTATTCCCAGGAGCCGGTGCTTGAACTACTCGCCTGCCTGCTTCCCCTGGGCCAAAGCCTCCGCCAGTGAGCACGGCTGGGCTGTGATGGAGACTTACCGAAGGGACCTGCTTTGTCCTGGCTGGGTAAGAGGCTCTGGAACACAAGGGCATCCCATTGTTCTAGAGGAACAGCTGCCTGGGTGCAGCTGCTCAGGGCTCTGTCACCTGCTGCCCTCTTGCTCTCAGAGTCCTTTCTGCGTCCCTCCCCTAAGGAAGCACACAGTGCCCACCCACAGCAGTGGAAGTTCTTCTCCCGACCAGGCCCCTCCCACCCTCTCCTCTTCATATGTTCATTTGCAGTGTTCAGGGCACAGTCACTAGTCCTCATCAGACACATCCCTCCCCGAAGACCCCCTTATCTTGGCTCCACATCCCATTCCAGACACTGTCTGGTTCTGGTCACAGGAAAGCTGAGTTTTCACTGTCACCTCCAAGGCCCTGTGCCATTTGCCCCTTGTCCCTCCTTGAATTTACCATCTGCCAATACCGTCATCCATACCCCCCCTTCGTGTGTGTGTGTCTAATACTGCCATCCATATCCCTGTGTGTGTGTGTGTGTGTGTGTGTGTGTGTGTGTGTGTGTGTGTGTGTGTGAAGGTCTCATGTAACCCAGGCTGGCCCTGAACTCCATATATATCCAAGGATGCCCTCGAATTTCGGATTCTCTTGTCTACCTGCCAAGTGCTGAAATGACAGGTTTCTCCACTCCACCTGGCTGATGTGGTGCTGGGAATCTGACATAGGTCTCTGTGCACGCCAGGCAAGTGCTCTGTCCACTGAGCTCCAGCCTCCGCCGTGTGGTTTGCTGACACACCAGACTCAGCATGCCTCTAAGATTTTGCATTGGCTGTTCTTACTGCTCGGGATGCTCTCTGCTGGTCCGTTTCATGTCGGTTTAGCACAGCCAGAATCATCTGGGAAGAGGGTCTCTCACTGGAGAAAACGCCTCC